CCAGGCAGACATGTTACAGGAGGAGCTGAGAGTTCTGCATCTTCATCTGAAGGCTGCTAGCAGAATACTGACTTCCAGGCAGCTAGGAGTAGGGTCTTAAAGTCCACGCCCACAATGACACACCTACTCCAACCATGTCACACCTCCAAATTGTGCCACTCCCTGGGCTAAGCATATACAAACTATCACACTATCCCTTGTCAATTTGACATACAATTATAACTCTTTATGTCCAAATGAAAACAGTTGTCAGGTCATAATAACACCTAACGTAACTATCTGTCATTCAACTGCAAATGCATAAACAATAAACTGAGCTGGGTGGGATCTTCCCCCAGGTCACTGCTCCCATAATTCCATTTAATATCCTTGATCACAAAATTTAGCTCCCTGCACCCTAAACTCCATACAGTCAGAAACTTGCATCAGCACTCTTTTAGCTCCAGCTCTGTACCTGTACGTTAGAAGTGAGAGCTGACAGTCAGGGAGTCTCTCTGTTCAGAGACTTACAAGATTGAAATCTAGGTGTTGGCATGAAGACATCAGGGGGCCTGGCTGGGTTCTTAGCAGGCAGGATCCATTGCTTTATATTGGACATCCTGGGGTTCTTACTTCCTAGCTGTTGGCTGTAGGTTGTTGTTACTCAGTGACTCTTCTGCAGTCTGTGCACAAGTACCCAGCCTCCATGCATGCTGTATTGAATCCATGTTAAGTATCCCTGGCTTCCCTTGATGCTGCCTGCCAGAGAAGACTGATGCCTTTCTAGCTCCCTCTTGCCCTCTCTTTCCAGTTTTAAGATTCAAATTGAAGATCACATACATGCTAGAATACTCTTAAAGTGTGCTTATGGTTGGGCCATGTCCACCCATACCGTCTTGTACCTTAAAATCAGTTGACTTACCTAGGTATGGTAGCCCATACCTGTAGTTACAGCAACTAGGGAGAGAACTGAGGCAGGAGAATTGCTGCAGATTTGAGACCAGCCTGATTATATAGTGAGTTCCAGGGTAGCCTGGGCTACAGAGCAAGGTGTTATTTATAAATTGATTGATTAATTAATTAGTTAATTAATTAACATATTAACATTTAATTACATTAGCAAAATTTCTATCCTATAATACCTAGATTGGGTTTGTAGACAGATAGCTGTAACCTTGAGAGAATGAGATTGCCTTTAATCTGTGTGCTAATACCCTTAACTTGAAGAAAAAAGCTAATGTGAAGTAAGTTAGTGCCTCAAGTGCTATGGCTTTCCTAGCCTGCATCCTTGGCTGAGAAGGTGTCAGAGTGCTGGTATTGTTACTGAGAACACAGCTGATGAGACTGCCTGGACATAGGGAGTAAGGGATGGGAGGTTACTACTTAGACTTAGGTATTAAATCAGTGGGGTAGCTCTGCTGAGTGGTGCACACCTTTAAACTGAGCTTTCAGGACTATCTCAGTGAGTTCAAGGCCAGCCTGGTCTACATAGCAAGTTCCAGGTTAGCCAAGGCTATGTGGTAAGACCCTGTTTCAAAAATAAATAAATAAATAAGTATGTATGTATGTATGTATGAAAAATAAAAAAGTAGGAGCAGTCAGGGAGTCCCTCTTTAATATAGATTAATAACACTTCATGTTATCTGTGTGATGATAAGGAATTTCAGTTGTGAAATAGAAGTTTTATTTGGAGATTGCTTTAGCTTTTAAATTATTATTTTTGTGGTTATATATGTGTATATAAGTACACATAGAAGCTGGAAGCAGGAGGACATCTTAGGTGCCCACCTTTGTTTTTTGACTCAAGTTCTTGCTGGTGTGGAACTCGCCACATAGGTGAGGCTTTCTCCTCACTAATTCTAAGATTGCCAGCATGTGCCACCAGGCCTGGTTTTACTCATTTATTTATTTTCTGTGGTTCTATGGACTGAATTCAGGTCTCTTGTAAGCATGTCACTGACTGACCTACCTTCCCAGCTCTGGTTTTGAATAGTTCATGAAAGTGTCTCCAGTCTGTTCCTGACCACTTTGTTGTTCTGTGCAGTGCTGAGGGTTTGTTTTGCTGGTAGTGGTTTGTTTTCTCTCTCTTTCTCTCTTGCTTTCTTTTTTTTTTTCTTTCTTTTCACTATCTAAAGAATATGGTGTCCAAGGAGTTTCTGTACACTTAGGCCCAGGATTTCAGGACAGAAGGATAAAATTTCTACACTTCCTTCTTATTTGACTCCTTAGAATAACCTAGAAGATTACTTTTATGTTGTACTTTACAAGTAAATAAGATCTAGTTAATCTGAAATATAATTCAATTTGTCTATTATTCCTTTTCTACTTAATTTATTTACTTTTTTTTTGGTTTTTCGAGATAGGTAATTTTTTTTTTTTTTTTTGGTTTCTCTGTGTAGCCCTGGCTGTCCTGGAACTCACTCTGTAGACCAGGCTGGCCTCGAACTCAGAAATCCGCCTGCCTCTGCCTC